TATATGAACCATTGCATAAATTATTACAGGATACAATTTTGTTTGAACACGGCATGAATGTTAAACCAAGACAAGTGGCTGGCTAAAGTAAAGATTTAATTTTCAGCTAGTCACCCATCCACCTCATCTTCTGCCAAAACCAGTCTTGCCAGCCCTGCATGGAATTTGGGTCAAGATCCTGACTGCTGATAGTGTTGAGGGCATTTCTGATCTGGACCTGCACTTCAGCATTCCAGGTGGGATCATTCCAGAAACAGGAGGAAACAGGTCTAGAACTGTCTGCAAACGTCATTAATCCATGCTCCGGCCACCTAGGGATGAATGGATCACTCAATTTCCAGACTAAATGTGTCCATTTAGCATCTGTTTATCCATAAATTTAAGAGTCAATTAAAAACTTGGCTCTTTAGGCAGGCCTCCCCTCCCGCCAATTCTTGATTGTATTTTCTTGCTTTTGTTGTTCATTTTCCCATCTTGATCATATTATTATTGTAGTTTTTAATTGTTGTTTTTATTTGTTTGATGTTGTGAGCCGCCCTAAGTAGACTTTTGTCTAGAAGGGCAGGATATAAATCCAATAATAAATATATAAAATAAATTTGTCCCATTCTGTTTCCACATTAATCTGCAATTTTTATAAAAACCTCCTCCTTCCAAATATGCATTACTGTATTTAATACTCATTTGTAAAGCTTACATGTATGCTACTAACCGTTATTGCTGTCTTGGACCAGAAGCAGATGTTAGAGATAGCCCATGACAAGTAGAGGGATATTCTTAATTAAACAGAGTATCACAGCATGAAGTCCTCTCCCTTTTAGGACTATGCAGATTATCTTGCTTCGCTCAGAGACTGCTCTTCAGGAATTAAACACTGGATTTCTTTGAAGCCTAATTTTAAAAAATACAGATGGACTGGCTCGGCCATCTCTCTGCAAAATAAACATGCTTTCAGCTCTAATTAGCACTTATGCTTAGCTTCCATCTCTAGTGTCATTCGTGGAATTTTATATGGGGGTTGTTGGTAGTTGCGGTCCAGATGACACTGCCTTCCATTTCACTCTCCCAGTGATGGTTCTGCTATTTTTTTCTCTTTCCTCAAAGAATGGATTAAGGAGAGAAAGATGGAAGAGCTGCACTTAAATCTATCTATCTAGTGATAGAAGCCATCTGTGATGTATACCCTGTGGCTCCTGTTTGTTTCACCTAACAGAGAGCTCTCAAAGCTATCTCAACATTCCCTTTAACACGCTGCCACCAGTTGATCCTCCTATATTTCCTATATTTCCTATGAAAGACTGAGATCCATTCAGTACTGAACTTTTAAACAAAAACAGGTTTATTGATTGAAAGTTGTTTTAGGAATAGTTCTTATGCACATTCTTAAAGTTACACAAAGCTTCAGTATTTTACTTTAACCTCTTCTATCTTAATTAATGCATGTCACACTCTTAACTAATCACTCCTTAAACACCCTCTCTCTGCCTCAAACCCCCAAACTCCTTCTCCAAACTCCGTCTCTGACTGAACTTTCTCTCTGATTCACCCCTCCTTTCTAGTTTCCCTGGCTCCGCCTCCCAACAGCCCCCACTTGTTCAGGCCAATACCATTATACATATAGACATCATCTATCTGGAAATGATGGTCCTTTTAAAAAAAGCCAACCACATTGCAACATTTGGTGAAACATGAAAGCCAGTGGATAGCTATCTTCTAGTCAGATAGCTCAGTGGTTTAGGTACCTGGCTGCGAAGCCAGAGATTGGGAGTTTGATTCCCCACTGTGCCTGTTGTGAGTAGAGCTAGCCTGTGTGGTTTTCGGCAAGCTGCACAGTCCCAGGATTTTCCCCAGAAGTAGGGAATGGTAAACCCCTTCTGAGCATTCTCTACCTGGAAAACCTTGGAAAGGGTCACCACCATAAGTCAAAATTGACTTGGTGGCACATGATTATTATTAGTCTGCACCCAAATCCTCAGTCTGTAGGCCAGGTCAGTTTGTGTCAGTATTCACAAGCTAATTCCTCAGATAAGGCCATCTCTCCCTCCTGCTGTCTCATAGTGCCTGTCTGGAACCTTCATATGGATGGGTAAGAATTGTGTTCAGGTTGTTGATGCATTTTAAATAAGAACTTTCCAAAATGTACATGGTTCTTCTTAAATATGAAACACCTTGAGATTTAAAAATTATTTGATACTAGGAGGAAATGAAGCCTCATCCATCCAGGGCTTTGAGACCTTAGCTCTTAAAGTCTGGGTTAGAATTCTTGGGTATTCAAAAGTGCATGGAGCGTTGAGTTAGGTAATCACCTCTACTGCTTCTGACAGGTGTTTCATCTTAAAACCCATATAGCAGTCAAATGGAACATGTCCTTCTCCATATTGGGAATAGCTGTATCTATAGAATTCAACCAATGTACTGTACAAGATTGAAAATGTCACTTTGTAGTTTTATAGTAGCTTAGCTGCAAGGTAGGCTATTTCAGTGGAGATCAGGACCATGGTCAGCTCGCAGTAGTTGGCATGGTCAGCTCACAGCAAGCTAGGAATGGTACTGTACTCTGTTAATTGTCTGGAGTCAACTGAAGGCCGAATTAGTCCTCCTCTCAGAAGACTGGTATTTCAGGCTCTGTGAAGAAACTTCATGGACGTACAGGGATAGGGTTCACTTGTGGAGTATTACATCCAGAATTTCTCTGCCAATGAGTCCTTGATGAGTCCTTGGGAAGGGGCACAGAGCTATATCATGGAGGGACAATCTGAGAGACTGTATTGTTAACTCTTGGGGCTAGTTAGGCATTTCTGAAGCTGTCTTTCTACCACAAATATTTCTGAATGCAGCTTTCCCTCACCTTCCCCCACCTTCTATAATTATGAGAGATGGTCTGATTCCTACTCCATGAGCATAGATTATTTTCCTCCCAAGATACCAATAGCTGTATTTTGTCACTGAAACAATGAAACTCTGATTACTAACATGCAAGTGTACACATATGCATTTGCATTTGGGATAGCTGTAAATATTAGGTTGGTGTGACTATCACCTCCCCACCCTGGTATTACACTGGCGATATTGTGAGTGATAAGATAAACTGGTTGCCTGCCTACTCTTACTATTTGGCAGGGTTTTTTAAAATTTTGTAGAATTTAGTGCATCTTTTTATGCTATCACTCAGAAGTGAGAACTTTCCCTTTGTCACCACCAAAGCAACGCTCCTCCCAACCTTGTAGAAGACCCCTTCCATTTCACAAACTTTACAGAACCTAGTTTTTCGGTGTTGTAGACTCCTCCAGCCTTATCACCTAAAAATAGGACTCCCCTCTACTTCTGAAAGGGTGTTTAGGATATTAATCTGCTAGATCTATTCTTCGTTTGAATAATACATCCATCTGGGATCAACAGATTAGTCTAATTCCCACCACCACCTAGAAAGGCCTGTAGACTCATTCAGGATAAGCTTAAGCTCATCCTAAGCTTTTGTGGATCCCATTGTATAAGATCAACATGGTAACCAGCCCCATATCCTGCCTATTTAGGTTCTGCTTGAGCATCACAGCAGTGTTAGCGCAATGTCACATTTTGCGATGCCGTGGTGATAACCACAAAGCATAATGCTCTGAAATGTATGCATATCTGAACCCAGATGTTAGGGCTAATTTATCTCTTGTGTATTTTAAACAGGTGTTGCATCTGTTTGGGGCTAATCTTTCCCCGATGACATTTCAGCAGGTGTTATATCTATATACAGTATTTTGCAGTGACATTGGTTGGAAGTATTGGTTAGAGCAGCACACTTTATTCCTCAATGACAATGAGAATGATGAGCTCCATGAGCATTCTGCAATACCAGCAACACACATAGGAGCTGCTCAGACACAGCAAGGACTTGTAGAGTTAAAACCAAAGCGTTTTCAATGCTGAATCATTTTCATTGCCAGAAATATGTCCTGTCAGAGACTCAAAGAAGGCTAAGTTGTAGATAAGGACTTCTGAGCCAGTTCTCCTTTCTCCAGGGCATGCTGCTTATAATGGTCCAGGTCCAACTTCCTGCTCATATCTTCTTCTGTGATGGGACTTCCTCCCCTCACCTAGGCTTTCCTTCATGTCACTGGAAGGAAGGAAGGAAGGAAGGAAGGAAGGAAGGAAGGAAGGAAGGAAGGAAGGAAGGAAGGAAGGAAGGAAGGAAGGAAGGAAGGAAGGAAGGAAGGAAGGAAGGAAGGAAGGAAGGAAGGAAGGAAGGAAGGAAGGAAGGAAGGAAGGAAGGAAGGAAGGAAGGAAGGAAGGAAGGAAGGAAGGAAGGAAGGAAGGAAGGAAGGAAGGAAGGAAGGAAGGAAGGAAGGAAGGAAGGAAGGAAGGAAGGAAGGAAGGAAGGAAGGAAGGAAGGAAGGAAGGAAGGAAGGAAGGAAGGAAGGAAGGAAGGAAGGAAGGAACTGCTCTAGGGAGTTCCTAGCCCTCTAATACATATTTTGTGGGTACATGTAGGTTTCTGGTAATATGGAACGGAGTAATTACTCTCTGCAGTTCTGCAAATAGAAGCAATTCCTTCAGTGGAATACCCCCACTGTATGCTGGTGAATCTGCTTTGACCTCCATGCTCAACATGGCACAAGCAACACAATCTCACACGTAGACTTAACAATGTGCAAACAATACTGTTTCCCATCATCTCATTTGATGTAAATTAAACAGCAATATAAATAGGAAGCAGTTGAGGGAAAGAAGCAGGTTTTATGGAAAGTGCTTTCTAGAAATTCATAATTTGATGTATTATTCTCTAGGCACAGTTGTCTCACTGATTTTTTAATATACTGTACTTTTGATATGTTTGAAAAATACAGTTAATTGATACTAAGAGGAAAGTGACTTGTATTGTAATTCGAGTTCCTTCATATTTTTGTGAGAGATTTGGGCAACCTTGGGAAGCACTATTGCTTACTTTTAAGAAAGTCACATATCTTGCATTGATTTTTTTATTTAAAAATGTTCTTTTGTATCATCCTTAGGGTCGCATGATTCATTTAGCTTCTACATTGATGAGGCTTCTCCAGTTGGACCTGAGCAACCGGAAACGGTCCAGAATTTTGTCTCTGTGTTTGGAACTGTGGCTAAAAAGCTGATGAGGAAATGGCTGGCAACACAGACGATGAACTTTACAAGCCAGCTGGGAGCAGGGATACGCTATTTTGACCTCAGGATCTCCACGAAGCCCAGAGACCCTGATAATGAACTCTACTTTGCTCATGGTTTATTCAGTGCCAAAGTCAATGAGGGCCTTGAGGAGATCAGTGCCTTTCTAGCTGAGCATCATAAAGAAGTGGTCTTGTTGGACTTCAATCACTTCTATGGGATGCAGAAGTGCCACCATGAAAAACTGGTTCAAATGCTCAAAGACACTTTTGGGAGTAAAATGTGCCCTGCCATATTTGCACACGAAGTTTCTCTAAAGTACCTGTGGGAGAAGGATTATCAAGTCTTGGTCTTTTATCATAGTCCGGTGGCTTTGGAGGTCCCATTCCTATGGCCGGGACAGATGATGCCAGCTCCATGGGCAAACACAACAGATCCAGAAAAACTGATCCAGTTTCTTCAGGCATCAATCACTGAGAGGAGGAAGAAGGGCTCTTTTTTTATATCTCAGGTGGTGCTGACCCCCAAGGCTAGCACAGTGGTCAAGGGGGTTGCTAGTGGTCTCAGAGAAACAATCACTGAAAGGTGAGTAGTTTTGTCCTGAGGCGTGGTCAGCGGTCAATTCTATTATCTTTGTTGTGAGCTTTATAAACTTCTGCTAAAGGGGAGAAGAGCACTTTCTTTCTGGCTTTCTCTTTTGAGAAGAGCCTCATGGTGCAGTGGTCAAAGTGCTGTCTTGCAGCCAAAAAACTGTGTTCACGACCTAGGGTTCAATCCCAGGTAGGCGGCTCAAGGTTGACTCACCCTTCTATCCTTCCGAGGTTGGTAAAATGAGTACTCAGCTCAGAGGGGATGAGAAGCACTGTGTAGCCTTCACAATTAACTTGTAAACCACCCAGAGAGTGCTTGAAGTGCTATGGGATGGTATATAAGCAGCACACTTTGTTTTTGCTTTTTGCTTTCACCCAGAGTTTAGAAAACTTACTTTTTTGAACTACAGCTCTCAGAATCCCCCAGTCTATCACTGGCCAAGCTACTGGGGGATTTCTTTTCAGTCCAGAAAACTGACTTTCCCAGCCTGTGGTTTCTCCCCTTTTCATCAAATACGAATTATGCCCCAAATACAAGAATAAATGAATTGAATGCAAGAGCTGTTCCTGGTACCTTGAGGTGGGGGTAACTGACTAGAACAGGGGTCTCAAACTTTTGAGAAGGTGGGTCACATCCTATATATTCAACATTTTTGAGGGCCAAAGGGATGTGTGTGCACACATGTTCATATGTGTGGCCTCATGTGTGTGGCCCACATGCAAACATGCATCACCGCCACCCCGCCCACACGTATGCTCGCCCACATGGAACACCCCTGCCCCCACCTATCCCACACACATGCACCCCCACATGCACACATGGACCCACGCCCACCTGCACACACACATGCCTCTCCACACGGATGCACACATGCAAGCACACCCGCACACATGCCCCCACATATGTTCTGAAGGGAACGGGCAGGATAAAATGGCAAGGTCGGCCAGATGTGGCCCGTGGACTGTAGTTTGGAGACCCCTGGATTAGAGGTTACGTAATATTAGTTTCTGGATACTCCATTTTCCACTTCTTTTCATTACTGGTGAATGTTAAGTAGCGAAAGTAGGTTCAAATGTGGATCCTTTGTACTTAGTGAAGCACCAATTCTTCTCAGTCATGTCCACCAGTTTGCAAAGCAAGCAATAGATTGGTTCCAAATTGAAATTCTGTACAGGCATCTGAATGCTTGTGTAAAGCACGCCTATAGTAAGGGCTGCAATCTTAGATCTTGATGAATTCAATAATATATACTTCTGATTAGACATATATGGCAGGGGTAGGTGATAGGTGATTCTCCAGTGGCTGGATTTCAGACCTCACCGCCTCCAGCTCTCCAACAACAGTCAAGCGGACACATATTCCCTATCTTTAATGTGTAGGGTGGTACTGTGAACCTTTAACTATAGAAGAGTGCTCTCCTCCCCCTTTGAAAGACTGTTTAAAGAGATTTGTGCAGATTCACAGTACTGCCTCTGAATCATTGTATACTTGGAAGAGCTCCATTGGAAATCAGTCACGACTCACTTCTGTCCCATTGATTTATAATGAGTCTACCCTAAGCCAGATACAGTCCCATGTGTGACTCCAGCATAAATGTGTAGAGACCAAGAACAATTCACCCAATTGTGGGTGCAGTGTTAGGTATGTTTGATTTAGAAATTTGCCTGTTTTATCTGCCATGCATACAATATTGACTGTGACCATCTATATCTAGGCAATTGTCTCCTTCTTGTGATCTATGAAAAATGATTAGACATTAACTCATCTGTAGAAATTAGGCATGAGGTCACAACTGTAAATTCCTGGAGTGTTCATGTGTGACTCCTTTAAAAAAATTAGGTGGAAGAACACAGATGTCGATCGAGGCATTAATAACTTCAATAAAAAAAAGAAGTGATTAAAGATTATTCCCCTCTGTACAAGGATATTTGAAAAAGCTGTCACAAATCAGTTGCTATAAATGGAGATTTCATATCACCTAAAATGCTACTTTCAAGTGAAGGCTAATTGTGTATTTAGTTGTATGTCATAAGAACATTCTACAGTGGAAGACTAATCTTTATTTACTGCAGCGGCTGTTTGCTTTGACACAAAGAATACTGGCATTTGTAGTTTGGTGATGGTCCTGGCACTTAGTGTTACAGTTCCCTGGCTGTTATCACAGAACTACATTTCCTGAGGAGATAGAAGAACTACCAAAATAATTTAAAGTTCTTGATGACATTCCATTGCCTGAAATGAAGGACAATAAATTGCCCCCACTAATTCCTGACAGAGATGCTGAGCAGGTTGGCAGTTGACTCTTACCTCAAGCCTGATGTGTCCTCCAGCACACCTGAGGATGATAGGCTGTCTTAAGAGATGGCATTCTCAGTTCTGTCTTCCAACACCTTACCCTTACTTTCTGCTCCTTCCATTTATACCATCAAAGGTGGCTTCTTTCCTCTGCCTAATGACAGGGCCAGCTCAGAATGGAAGCATAACCTGAATGATGTCTTCCTTCGTTCAAAGGGTCTTTTTTAAAGGGTCATTTTCTTTTTCCTCTCATTTTTATTATTCATATTATCAGTAATTAGTACTTCCTTAAAAAGGCCCCCTTCAAGGAATTGTTTCCTTGTATTTGATTATTCAAGTGGTGCATTTTGAACCTAATTATTCAAGTGGCACAAAACCAGTCTGGGCATCCTTTACTGGGAGAATATTGTAATCTATTCTGTTAGTTCAAAATGTGCTGCAGTATTTTTTGTCCCTTGAGAGATAGGTTTGCTACACATAGTTCCTTGAATAATGGGCTAGAATCCTGTTGGTGTTCAGGTGAGGTTTGCATAACTTGCCACAGATAACTGTGAGGTTCTCAGGTGCTCTGAAACCATGTGTGTGGACCTGCACTTAATTGCACAACTAAGCTGAGCCCAGGATTTTGTCAGTTAGCCACAGCTCACTGTGGCACATTATTCAAATGTTACATAAACACCACTAGGATTCTGGTCATTATTGAGAAAAGACAGAGCAGAATCAAAGTCTAGATGCAACCTGAGGTTGGAATGCATCTGTCTTTAAAGTAGAGGCCACTGGCATGGGCTACATCTGTCACCCAGGAGCTGGAATTGAGATCCCCCAGCCTCCTCAGAATAAATATGTAAACAAATAAGTAAAAGTATTTTTTAAAAAAATTGAAAAAAATTGTCTTGCCTTCTAAGAGTGAAGGATGTAAAGACGGCCCACTCTACCTTACAAGTTTCCATTATGTTAATTAAATTGGTTTTAATTGTTTTATTTTATTTCTGGAACATGATTTCTTCAGTTACCGTATTTTTTGCTCCATAAGACGCACCTCTCCATAAGACCCACCAAATTTTTAGGAGAAGAAAACAGGAAAATAATAATCTGTTTTCTTCTCCTAAAAATTTGGTGAGCCTTATGGAGAGGTCCATCTTATGGAGCACACCCTAGGACTCTTGGGAGGCTCACCCTGCCCCCCCGGGGGCCAGAGGGGGCAAAATCACCACCTTCAGGGGACTCTTCTGAAGCTTCCTAAGCCTCAAAAGAGTCCCAGAAGGTGGCGATTTTGCCCCCGCTGGCCCTGTGGGGGGTGGGGGAGCCTCCCAAGGGTCCTGGAAGGCAGACGTGGACCCTTGGGAGGCTTTTCTGAGGCTTGAAAGGCTCAGAAAAGGTCCTGGAAGCTGACGATTTCGCCCCTGCTGGCCCCTTGTGGGGTGGGGGAAGCCTTGCAAGGGTCCTGGAAGGCTCACTCAGACCCTTGCAAGGCTCCCCCCACGGGGCCAGTGGGAGCGAAATCGCCAGTTTCGCTCCATAAGATGCACAGACTTCCCCCCCCCACTTTTTTTGGGGGGAAGTACGTCTTATAGAGCGAAAAATACGGTAATAATTATGGGAAGCCTGGAGTCTGGTAGCAATAAATCTGGTAGCACTAATTCCAGAGCCTGGAATCTCTTATTCAAGAAGATAGCTCTTCCAGGCTTTAGGAAAAAGTGCATAGACTATCTCTCAAGCAATTCTGAAATTGTGGGTTGTGGTCTGGTTGGTAGGGCAAGGCTCCTCAGAATCTTTTTTCTAATCTGGATTTGGACTTTCTGAAACCTAAGGCACAATGAAGTCAGAGGTGGAGTTCAATCATTCCCAAGAGTCTGAAACTTTGGTTGTTGCAGCTTCCTCATATTTTATTATTAAATATAAAAAAAATAAGTTGAGGATAATCACAGGAAAAAATGGCACCCACCATTTTAGGAATTGTGTTTCCAATACTCTCTATCCTATTCAGTCATACTTTGAAGACTGTGGAGGCCAAATATAATGAGGGGATTAAAGAGATGACCCCTTCTGTCATCTCTTTAAACATGGATATGCAACTGTAAGGTGTTATTAAAGAAATACCAGAAGGGGGCAGATCTATCATGCTCCCCTCAACATGTATGTATTCCACGCAATTTAAAGCAAAGTCTTGTTTCGTACATGAATTCCACTTCTTCCTTTTAAAATTAATATTTGATTACAGAAGAAGCTGTTTCTCCTAAGGCAATTCATTTGTGATGGACAGCCACCATCTACAAAGATAGCATATTTTCCCCGTTCTGAATGATTTCACACATCTGCTGATTTGTGCACATTCATACTGCTCCCTCTACAGTACAGAGGGGGTACATACGATCCTTATTATTACAAGCCAGTTATTACTGGCTTGTAACTCCCATCAGCCACATCTAGAGCTGATGGGAACTTCAATGCAATGGCATCTGGAGCTATGTATTCCACAACTGTGCTATAAATGTCTGATCGGAGTTAAATCCCACAGACCTCATTGAGATATGCACCTGGAAAAGTGGGCATAGGATTGCAGCCTTAATGAAATAATTCATGGATCAAAACTCATCTGTTGATTAATATTAGGGTCAGTTTCCGAATGTGGTGGTTGATTCACAATGTTAGATCACTGCAATTCTTCAACTTCATGGGGCTCAGCCATGCATGCTGAG